GCTCCTGCTCCAGCCACCTCCAGCCACCATGCCTCCCTGCCATGACGGACTGTGATTCCCCTAGAACCGTAAGCTCAAATAAACTCTTCCTTCTATAAATTGCTTTGGTCAGTGCTTCTATCACAGCAACAGAAAAGTGACTAATACACCATGGAACTGGAGTTGCAGGTGGTTGGGAGCCTCCATGTGAGTGCTGGGAACCAAATCCAGGTCCTATGCATGAACAACCAGTATTCTTAGGCACCGAACCATCTCTCCAGCAGCTTTGGTGATTTCTATGACAGGGAATGTCTTCTTATTTTTTGTATAAACATTGCTGAATGAATTCATTTAGATATCCTTTAAGTCAGGCATTATGTTAAGCACTTCATTTTGTGTGACAGTATTTATCTTTATTTTAAAAATAAGAAAATCAGTAATGGAGAGCTGCTGTGCTGGATTGTTTTAGTTGTTAACTTGGCACCTCTGGATAGAGAATACCTCAATTGGGGAACTGCCTCCATTGGACTGGCTTGTGGGGGTATTTTCTTGATTGCTGAATGATATGGGAGGAAAAAGCCCACTGTGGGCAATGCCACCCCTGGGCAGGTTGTTCTGTATTGTATAAGAAAGCAGGCTGAGCATGGACCAGGGGACCAAGCCAGTAAGCAGCATTCTTCCATGGCCCATGCTTCAGCTCCTGCTTCCAGGTTCCAGCCCTGAGTTCCTACCTTAGGTAGTGGTCAGAGTGTTTTGTCACAGCAATGGAGAGACAAACTAGGACACCCCCGAATATCTTAAAAATAACTTGTAGTGCTTTTTTTTTTGTTGTTGTTGTTGTTAAAGCCAGGGTAACACCATCAATTCTCAATACTGAAGGATTGAAGTCTCAGAGGGGGAGATTAAGATGGGATATAAAGGTAGGGATGCTGGGCGTGATGGCACATGCCTTTAATAGCACTACTTGGGAGGCAGAAGCAGGTGGGTCTGTGTGACCTGGGAGATAAAAGATAAAATGACCCTTTTCCTCCCCAAGTTGGTATTGGTCATGGTAGCCCACACCTCTAATCCCAGCACTCAGGAGATAGAGGCAGGTGGATCTCTGTAAGACTGCCTGGTCTACATAGTGAATTCCAGGCCAGCTGGGGCTACAGGGAGACCCTATCTCAAAAAGGCCAAAAAAATAAAAGATTATACAATTGTATGATATATAAGACAGTATTAAACATCCAAAAAAGCATAAGATAATCTATATATTATTCTACTTTTTCAGTAAGATACAGTGTATATGTATGTTGTCTTTTGTGGAACAGTGACTGTAAATGTGCTTTTGTCTTTTTTATTTTAAAAAAAAAAAAGGGAAGATTGGGGCTGGGGAGATGGCTCAGTGATTAAGAGCACTGGCTGCTCTTGCAGAGACCCAGGTTCAGTTCCCAGCACCCACATGGCAGCTAACAACCATCCGTAACTCCAGTTCCAGGGGATCTGGTGCCCTCTTCTGACCTCTGTAGGCACTGAATGACACAGGTACACTTACATACATGCAGGCAATACACTCATACACATAAAATAAAAATAATAAAGTAAAAAATATTTTTGAAAAGGCAAGATTAATCATAAACTAATGAAAATAGTTATCTATAGGGGTCAGGAACAAACTAGGTAGTGGAGCTAGAGATAATAGGGAGCCTTTTCTTTTATTTTATTTTTTGGTCTTTTTGAGACAGGGTCTCCCTGTAGCCCCAGCTGGCCTAGAACTTGCTATGTAGACCAGGCTGGCCTTGAACTCATAGAGATGCACCTGCCTCTGCCTCTCAAGTGCTGGGATCAAAGGCATGCGCCACCATGCCCAACTTAGGGAGCCTTTTCTTACTATATCCTTCTATAAGGTATTAACTTTGCAAAGTCATATAATGCCTTACATATTTTTAATAAATTAGGGGCTGAGGTTGTAGCTCAGTGACAGAGTGTATATTTAGCACCTACAAGGTCCTAGGTTTAATTTCCAGAGCCAAACAAAAAAGGACAAAAATAAAATGAAAATGAAAAAAAAATTTATGTCTTTTAAAAAGCAAAATGTGTCAGGCGTGGTGGCACATACCTTTAATCCCAGCACTCGGGAGGCAGAGGCAGGTGGATCTCTGTGAATTCAAGGCCAGCCTGGTCTACATAGTGAGTTCCAGGAGACCCTGTCTCAAAAAGACCAAAAAAAAAAAGGCAAAATGTTGCAATAATAATTCAAAATAATTATACCACTAAATTATCTAATATTTATTGATTATTGCTTTGAAGAATTTCTTCTATGCTAACACAGAAGCCAACCAAATTACAAAAGCAGGTCGAAGGCCCATCGTTATAAAGAGAGACCTCCATTAGGCCCAAACCATAAAGCAAATCTTGCTTTACAAACAAGCCCATCCAGGACCCGCAACCATAAATTTCTGCAAACAGGTCTTATCAGAAAAAGAATGCAGACCTTAGAGCTTCTCCCACAAGCCCTTATCTACCAGGGAAGAACACAGGCCTTGAATCCTCTCCCCAACTCCCAAGACTCTGCTGATATACACAAAATAACTTAAGCTCCCCTGTTGTTTGGCCCATGAGGCTCTTGCAGACTCCTGCTGGTCAGTAGTCATTCCTCATTGACTAGGAAAGGTCAGTATGAGTTAAAGGAGGTTGGGAGCTTTTTCTTTCTACCTGTGACTCTTTCAACTCCTAACCCTAACATTTACCCAGGAGAGAGTTCTCAGCTCCCAGTTCTTAACACTTTATGCCAAAGGAAGCCAAAACATGGCTGGACCAAAGCTAGGAAAGAATCACAGGAGTGGCCAGGTGCAGTGGTACACACTTTTAATCCCAGCATTGAGAGGCAGAAGCAGGTAGATCTCTGTGAACTCCAGACCAGCTGGGGCTACAGAGAGACCCTATATCAAAAAACACAATAACAACAAAAAGAATCACAAGAGTGATCTCAGAGAGTTGAATCAATATGGAAAGGAAGAAACATGATGCCAGAGAACATTCTGCTTCAAGGAAAGACTAATCTAAGAGAGAAAACAGGATGTGGAGTGGAGCTCAACAAATGGAATGCTATATGCATGCCATCTTAGAATCTTGACCAAGACATCTTCCACTCCTACTGTATCACCTAACAGCCTGGGTCAATACAGTTCATGAAGAATGCTGAACCTTTAGAAGCAGAATATTTAAGTTCTTGACAGACGTCTTCCTAGACACCCTAAAGGTCTGTTGAAGACAAAAATTTCTTAATACCTCTAATTCCCATAGCTAGCATTTACGAAAGTGAGAACAGGATATTTAAAGTTATTCTAGTCAATTCCAGGTTTTTTTGTTTGTTTTTTTGTTTTTGTTTTTGTTTTAATAAAGAATCATTTCTCAGCCAGACATGATGTTGAAACTGTTATCCCAGCACTTGGGAGGTAGAGGTAGGAGGGTAGCAAGTTTGAGGTCAGACTGAGTGAGCTACACAGCAAGAGCCCATTTCAAAGAGCAAATTAACTGACTAATAAAAATCATCTCTTACCATTAAACTAACGGGATTAGACAAGACTTCATTTTTTTTAACATTTTTTAAAATCTGTTATTTTTATTTTAAGTGTATGAGTGTATTGCCTGCATGTATGTGAGTGCACCCATGTCCTGCAATACCTCAGAGGTCAGAAGAGGGTTTCAGATTCCCCTGGAACTGGAGTTAAGGATGGTTCGTAGCCGCCATGTGGGTGATGAGAATCGAACCCGGGTCCTCTGCAAGAGCAGTCAGTGCTCTTAACTGCTGAGCGATCTCTCCAGCCCCAAGATCAAACACTTTTTAATCTTCTCTATAACTCCAAAATGATTTCTAAATCAGGAAAACTGATTTCATTTATAGGCTTTGGGTTTCTAAAGTGTTATCTTTAAAAATCTATAAATTTGGGCTGGGGATGTAGCTCAGTGGTAGAGCACTTGCCTAGCACGTGGGAGGTTCTAGGTTCAATCCCCAGCACCACAAAAAGAAGAAAACAAGAGCAAATTTATAATGCAGTGTTCAAAAACATACTATAAACTGGCCATGGTTTTACAAAGTGCTTAAAACCTTGAGAATGATGTAAGTACAGAAGTCTTATACATACCTACTCTTTTTTCTAAGAGGTTTCCTTGTTGAGCCAACTTGATTGCATGTATGTAGCCAAAAGAAGCATCATACCCAAGCATTTCACAATATATAAGTCTCACCATACATTCCTTCATCATTTTCTGAAAAATAAAATATCCAATCACTATGTTAAACAAATAGAATGCTGTCATTTCTGTGTCATACTCATCTAACAGGAGAGCTCTTTAATCCTGGCAATGAAATACAGAGAAATAATAAAATGCCTAACATCAAAATAAAAGTGGTGCCTAACAATTACCAGCATTATAATTTCAAAAAAAAATTATTTCAAATATTTAGTGGGTAATGATACTATAACAGAACTGCTTCAGCTCAGGAGCTGAAGACTAGCCTAGGTAACATACTGAGAGCCTACCTCAAGAAACAAAAACAGAACCAAACTGAACCCAGGCTTTCTTCAGAATCACTATACTACAAATTTGTAACCATCTGCTTTACAAGTGCTCACAAATGCTGTGAACTGAGGGGCATAATGTCATCAACAGGACAGTCATTAAAGCTGAAAGTCAGCCAGGTATGGTGGCACACGCCTTTAATCCCAGCACTAGGGAGGCAGAGGCAGGCGGATCTGTGTGAGCTCAGCCAGCCTGATCTACCTAGTGAGTTCCAGGACAGCTGGGGAGGCAGGGAGACCCTGTTTATAAAAAGGGAAGAAAACAAACAAAAAACTGAAAGTCCTTGAGAGATTCTACTAGTATGTTTTATCAGAATGACAATATCAGTATTTATCACAAGTTTTCATCAGTAATAAAAATGTGTTTCAAAATAAAGAAAAGCTCAGACTAATAATATCTAAAAATTAAATCTGGGCAACCATAGTAGACACAGGAGGATCAGAAATTCGAGGTTATCCTCAGCTGCTTATTAAGCTGAGGGCCAGCCTGGGCTACATGACACCCTGTCTCAAAAAAAAAATTGTTTTTTTAAAATACAGCCAGGCATAGTGGCACATTCCTTTAGTCCCACACTCAGGAGGCAGAGACAAGCAGATCTCTATGAGTTCCAGGCCAATCTGTCTACATAGCAAGTTCCAGGCCAGCTAGGGCTACATAGTGAGACCTTGTCTTAAAAAAAATTTTATATAGATATATGTTATAATTAGCATATTAGATTATGAGATCACAAAATACTTAGGAAACATGAAAATAAAACATTTTAGCAAGTTGTGTGTGATGGAAACCCGGTACTTGGGAGGACAGGGCCAGAGGATCAAAAGTTACATAGTGAGTTGAAGGGCAGACTAGGCTAATTGAGACTCTGGCTTAGAAAAAAATTTAAAGCAGGGGCTGGAGAAATGGTTCAGCAGTTAAGTGCATTCGATACTCTACCAAAAGACCTGGGGTTCAGTTCCCAGCACCCACATGGCAGCTAACAACCATCTGAAACTCCAGTTCCAGAGGATCCAACACCCTCTTATAGCCTCTGTGGACATTACATACGTGCAAGTAAAACACTCATACACGTTAGATAAATAAATAATAGTAATATTTAGTAGTGTATGTGTGTAAATCTTAAGACAATCTTAGGGAATGAGGTTTAATTCAGACCACTTGTGCTTAAAGCAGTAAAAGTTAATTCATTAATATTAATTAAGACTACTAATTTTGGTATGTGTGTGTGAGTGTATGTGTGTGTGTGTGGTACATGTGTCTACATTTTTAATTAAACCATACTGCAAGTCTCTCTGCATAGGTTTTTATATCAATTATTAGTGAAGGTAATGAAGGTGTTAATTTATGCCATTAAGCTTCAGCCCTGTATTTGTAGCATGATCTCAGAGCTTTCCAAAAGCCATTATTTGCTTTACATAAGTAAAATCATTACATACATTATTACTCCTTTTTTGCAGGAATTCTCTTTACAACATCCTTCTGGTCATTCCAGCTCTGTAATCACCTTAGAAACAGACTACTATGAGCTACACCCAGAGCTAGACGGTTATAATTATATAATTATATAAATCTTCCTTGTAAACTCTGAGTCCCCAACTCGTACCTATTAATCGCAGTTCTACTCAACACCAGGTTTATTATATTCAGTGATACCAATACAGAAAAGGAAAACCTAAAGAAGAGAGAAAAGCCGTTTCTGCTTATCATGTCTATCAAATACCACAAAACACAAAAATCTTATATACAGATAAACATATCTATACTTAAAAAATAAACATATACAAAAATATATTAATGATGTCTTGAATTTTGTTTTCCCTCCTATTATGACTATAAAAGGAAATATTTACAACCTTAGACTTTGTGTATTCGTGTCTATGATAGTGCACTTATGAGAAATGATCAGATCACCTTGGTAGTTTTAGTGGGAGGAAGATTACAATTCCCAGATTCCCACAGTGACTTATACATAAAAAGCACTCAATTAGTTGGAAAAGAAACTTCATTTTAAAAAGAAGACAGGCCAGCAAGATGGTTTAGCAGGTAAAGGTTCTTGCCACCAAGTCTGATACCTCAATGTGACCCCTGGGACCCAAGAGTAAGAGAGAGAACTGACTCCTGCAAGTTGTTCTCTGACCTCCACACACATGCTGTGGCACGCGCGCACGGCGCGCGCGCACACACACACACACACACACACACACACACGCACACACGCACATGCGCGCGCACACACAAAAGTATAAATAAAAATTTTAAATGTAGAGCCGGGTGTGCTGGCGCACGCCTTTAATCCCAGCACTCGGGAGGCAGACGCACGCGGATCTCTGTGAGGTCAAGGCCAGCCTGGTCTACATAGCAAGTTCCAGGACAGTTGGGGCTACAGGGAGACTCTGTCTCAAAAAAGACCAAAAAAAAAAAAAATTTTAATGTAATAAAAAATTTTTAAGTGGCAAACCACAACTGTACATTTTTTATTGAATTATCACACTGTACTCCATAAAGATGTAGTTATTAAGTGTCAATAAAAAAAAGTAACAATTAGGACAGGCATGGTTGTACATGATCTCTGTGAGACTGAGGCCAGCCTGGTCTACCCAGTGAGCTCCAGGCCAGCTGGGGCTACAGGGAGACCCTGTCTCAAAAAAACCAAAATAAATAAATATCACCACTGGGCATGGTGGCACCTGCCTTTAATCCCAACATTCAAAAGGTAGAGTCAGGTAGATCTCTGTAAGTTAAGACCTCAGTTCAAAAAGATTAAAAAAAAAAAAAAAACCTAGGTCCTAATCTATGTGCAAATGGCTTCACAGTGGCCAGCATACAGCAGCCACTTGTTGAACAGTTGCTGAATGTGGAGGTTCCCAGCTGTGGGAGGTGGGACGTGTGGGACCTGGGACATGGGGGACCTGGGACATGGGGCTAATATAAAATAAGATGAAATTGAGAAGAAAGGTCAGGGTGACAGGGATGGGTCGGAAGGCCTCCACACTGGTCAACTGAAGACAGAAGAGTGGCCAAGACCACCAAAGAAAGGAATGCAAACTAAGCCTACTACCAACATACCACAGACCTTACATGAAGAATTATTTTTCCCTCTTCCTAAAGGGTCGTTAGCAGAAGGCATGAGAGGGCTTCACAGGTTTCCCTTTCACCTCATGGGAAACACGATTTCTCCAGTGCTTATATCAGGGTGCAGACAATTAGGATTTCTCCAGTGCTTATATCAGGGTGCAGACAATTAGGATTTCTCCAGTGCTTATATCAGGGTGCAGACAATTAGGATTCCTCCAGTGCTTATATCAGGGTGCAGACAATTAGGATTTCTCCAGTGCTTATATCAGGGTGCAGACAATTAATCTAATTAGAGTTGCAGAGGACAAAAAGAAGAGCTCTTTAAATTTGATTCCTGATCGTCTACCAAAAAAGGAAAAAGAAAATAATAAAAAATGGGCCCGTGAGCAGAAGCTAAAAATGTCACTTTGTACCTTTGCTTCTGACCCTAACCTAAAGAAAGAAAACAGAAGGCTAGGAGGAAGTCCGCTGTGCTTTAAGGAAGCAGACCTTCTGAAACCCCAGAATCAGCTCACTCTGTCCCACAAAATATGAGGACAAGACAAAGTCCCAGAGATGAAAACGGAGAGGACTGTACATTACTGGAGTGAAGCTCCGTGCCACTGAATGCCACTCCAGCCTCCAAATCCTCAGGAACATGGACTCAGTGTCTGTGCTTGGCATTTATGAGGGAAAAAACACACATGTAAAACAATAGCCCAGGCAACTGCATCTGATCCCACCACTGATTCAATGATTTTTATTTAACAGCATTCTCACAATGAACACACTACATTCAAAGAAAGGTGTACAAATGCCAAAACCCTTCCTGAAAAAAAGGCCTTATACCTCTAAGCTGTATTATCAGTCAGTTCTCCAATGTGGACATACTGCAATCAAATCACTGGAAGGCTTTAAAAAGAAAATAGTTACTGAATGAATGCTGTTTGAAAAATCAAATTATATGGAACCAAGTTTCAAAAAACGGTCCTGATTTAGCTTCTGTACAATGTACTCAGTTTCACCGCAAGAAAACAATTATTCTACCTATCAGTCAACCTACACGCCTAAATGTATAGCACTAAAATTAAAGACCCATAATACAAGGACTTAAGACATAGCTCAGCAGTAGAGCAGGTGCTCACATACATAAAGCCCCAGCTTTGATAATAAATAATAGTAACGGTAATAACATATCAATTCAGGTCTGAAATATCATGTTAAGATGACACACCCTAACCCCTTCCATGCACTTCTAAGATCTCATCACATTTAGCAATGGTCACATTGGCCCCCTGACATGATCAAGTCTTCTTTCAGTGTAACCAACAATAAAAATCTAAGTTACGGTCTAGCTTCTAGAACTGATTTTGACCATAACACATTAAAATTTAGAAACTATGAGTGAGATGTCACTATCAAGTCTATAGTGGACCAGATTTCAAACTGAAATGTTAAACTGGCTGCAAACTTACCAGTGTTGTCATAGGAGCAGCAACAGTCACTTTCAGACTGCTCAGTTCCTGCTGGATTAACTTCTCTTCTTCCTGAAAAAGAGAAAATTTTTAAATGCTGGAATAACTGTCTTTTTAAACTGTAATGGGATTTTTAAAAGAAAGAAAAATACAATTTATAGTACTTTCAACTAAAATTAAACATTATTGTGAAGAAGTTTACTTCCCCAACCCACAGAACTCTCCCTAGAAAGAATAAATATTTCCAAGTCAACCTGACATTCCTCTTCATTTCACTCAGCTTCTACAAAGACTGGCAGGAATTTTTTTTTTTTTTAAGTCAAAATGGTGCCAGGCATGATGGAACACATCTTTAATCCTAGCACTCTGGAGGCGGAGGCAGGCGGATCACTGTGAGAACCAGGCCAGCCTGATCTACACAGTGAGTTCCAAGTCAACTATCTCCAGACAGGGAGACCCTGTCTCAAATTTAAAAAAATAAAAATAAATAATAATAATAATAATAATAATAAAAATAAAATTCAAAATGGGGCTGGCAAGATGGCTTGATTGGTAAAGGAGCTTGCCACCAAGCTTCATGACCTGAATTTGATTCCTAGAATCCACGAGGTGGAAATAACTCCTGAAAGTTGTACTCTGACCTCCACACAGGTGTCATGGCATGTGCTAGTTCCTACCCTACAATCCCCCACGATACACTAAATAAATAAATAAATAAATAAATAAATAAATGTAATTTTAAAAAATTTTAAATGGGCCAGGCATGGTGGCATATGTCTTTAATCCAAGCACTTAGGAGGCAGAAGTAGGCAGAACTCTGAGTTCTACATAGTGAATTCTAGACCAGCCAGGGATACACAGTGAGACCCTGTCTCAAAAACCAAAAAATAAATTTTCCATACGTGGATCTGAGATGAGTGTTGCATCCTCCCCCTTAGAAGTAAAAAGTCTTCAGGCTGGGCATGGTGGCACCCGCCTTTAGTCCCAGCACTAGGGAGACAGAGACAGGTGTCAAGGCCAGCCTGGTCTACATAGTGAGTTCCAAGAAGGAAAGGGAAAGGGATAAGGGAAAGGGAAGGGGAAGAAGGGGAGGGGAAGGGAGGGGAGGGGAGGAGAGGGACCTTGGTCCAGACTCACAACCACCTTTATTTAATTCCATCCCAACGGATCAGACACCCTCTTCTGGCTAGGGCACCTGAATTCAACACACACGTGCGCGCGCACACACACAATTTAAAATAAAACTGCCTTTAAAAAAATAAACCTACCACTTAGGTACCACATTTTTGGCTGCCTATGTAGTTTTAAACTGCGACCTAAGCTGAAAAATAAATTTTTAAAAATTTCACTCAGGGGCAGGGGCACTTGCCCCATGAGACTCATGACCTGAATTTGGACCCCAGAACCCATGGGAAAGCCAGATGGGTTAGGTAATCGCCACACTCCTATGGTGAGGTGAGAGGTAGAGGCAGGAGAATCCATGGATGTTCCTGGCCAACCAGCACCCCAGCAAACCTGAGGGATCCTATCTCAAGAAAGGTGGGAGTCAAGGACTGACACCCAAAGTTGTCCTCTGATCCCTATATACAACATGTGTAATGGTATGTGCACACTCACACACCAACACATACAGGTTGTACACACACACACACACACACACACACACACACACACATTTTTTTATTTCATTTGGCATCTCATACAAATTAGCAAAGGAAAGCTATGAAGATAACATTAAGTCCAAAAATAATGATGGAGATGGGCAGCAGGTCCTGTCCAGTACAACATCACCGCTCATCAGCTTGCATTTAAAATACAAGCACTTTTCAGGGCATCTTGTTTTCCTTTTTCTTCTCTGATGGCACTCACATTGTTCTGTAGTTACGCTTACACTTAGGTTAAGCGCCAAATGGATGACCAATTCCTTGAGAAAAGAGAAAGTAATTTACTGTTTTCCTCCTTATTTAAGGCATATCCTTGCTTGATAATATCTGTTGAAGAAATTATAACACAATATGTGGTTTTGGGGTGGTTTTTTTGGGGGGGGTCTTTTTGAGACAGGGTCTCCCTGTAGCCCCAGCTGTCCTGGAACTCGCTATGTAGACCAGGCTGGCCTTGAACTCAGAGATCCGCCTGCCTCTGCCTCCCGAGTGCTGGGATTAAAGGCATGCGCCACCAAGCTCGGCTACAATATGTGCTTTTAAGATACACATTCCTTGAGCCTTTGAATCGGTGAACCTTACACCATCCGTGCAACAACTGACAGGCTGTGGAAACAACTCATCTTCAAAGCCCATCTGAACCAGACTTACTCAGCACATTTTACATGTTTGAAGAATTGTGTTTTTCTTGGCCCAACCCTTTGGTCTAGCCTAAGAACCTCAAGCTCTCCAAAGATGACAGCAGTTGGGAGACGGTCTGTTCAAGTATGTGATGCCTCCAGTTTAAGGAACTACATAGACAATAGGGAAAAGAAACTTTGAAGGTGACAAACGCCTGCCTCTTCCACGCACTGGGTATTTTCACACGCTAGACATCTCATCTAACCCTCAAAGCATCCAGTGAAATTCGTGTCGCTTTAGCGTTGACAAAGCACATGGAGGGCCACAGGTTATAGAAATTTGTTCCAGATCAGAATGGGTCAAGTGTGGAAAATGTGGAAAGCCGGGCTCGCTGCTGTCAGTCACAGCAGCAAAGTGAAGCTTCAGTCGGATGCCAGGTCGCATCTACACTGCCAAGGGGATCCCGCGGGGACCTGCCTGGCCAGGCTCTCCCCCATTCCCACCCCCCCCCCCCCCCCCAGCCCCAGCCCCTCTGACCCTGGGGACCCCTGGGAACCCTGCGTAGCCCGGCCTGGCCTCCCCGCCCTGCCCGACACCTACGTGCTTGGAGGAGAGCGCCGTGACCCCGCGGATGAGGCCGCCCAGCCTGGAGGAGAAGGGCGCCCTGGAGGTCGCAGGTCCGCCCAGCTGATTCTGCAAGAAGAGCCCGGGCAGGGCTGTCAGTGTCCTCTCCACCATGTCGCTCATCTCGGCCGCAGTCTGTTCGGCCGCCGCCCGCGGGTCCTCACGCCCTGCCGCCCGGCCACCGTAGGCACTTCCTGCGTTTTGAATTAGAAATCTTTATTCGAGCACCGTGGTGAAAACTGTCCTTCCGGAAGCGGCCGGCAGGGGGCGCACGAGTCTGTAAGGCCGAGCTCCGGGTGCCGCGTGGCGCCTGCCCGGCCCCGCCCCGCTGCTCTGAGAGGCTGGAGGCTAGTACCCTCCCACTCTTTGCCAATCACACGTTCAAGGTCACTTTCCTTGAGCTGACTTTGTTGACAAGCTGGGAAAGCCACCCTGTCCCACTTGCACAGTTGCACGACAGTTATCTCACCCTAGAGAGAATGCAGTGGTCATAGCTATTACCCCAACTGCTTCCTAGAACACAGTGTGTGATCTGGGGACTTCTGAGGGTCCCTGAGACCCTTCCAGATGATCCTGTGGTCTAAAAGAGAGGCATGGCGTTACTTAAATGTTGTTGTTGGGAATCCTCTTGGAGTGCATGGAGTTTTCAAGAGATCACTCTGCTACGAGGAAATGTGTGTGCTTGAGTATTGTGTTTTCTAGACTCTCCCAAGGTAGTAGGTTTTTGAACTCAAAGCAGTTCTGCCTCTGCCTCCAAGTGCTGGGATTACAGGGGACAGCCACCACACCCAGCCTCCTTCTGGTGTCCTGGCCACCTATACCAGTTCTAATCTCTGAAACTTCATTTGTGATCCAATAAATGAACTTTCTGAAATCCCTAACTTGTTCTTGGGTCCATGCAACAACAGAAGAAAAGGTTTGCTCTACGCAGTTGGTCTGCAAGCATAGTTTTTAATTTACTGAAAAATTTCCGAAAATATTTGAATTTTATTTAAACCCGATTTTCTTTTAGAATTTAATATTTTATTTCAAAGTTAAATTTTGTTGGCATTTTTAAAATTCTAGGATCTTTCATAGCTTAGAAAGGATTAGAAAATTTGCTCTCTAGCTATATGTAGTAGTATTTACCTGTAATTCTAGCACTTTTGGAAGCAGAGGGAGGACTATGGAAGTTCAAGATCATCATCAGCTACATATCAAGTTCAAAACCAAACTGAACTTAACCCTCCTCATCCCCTGCCCTGCCCCCTCAAAAAA